AATAAATAAGTAATAATAAAAATAAAGCCTCCACAAATAACGCCCCCATTCTGCTCCCCCTTAACCCATTACCAGGCATCACTGGTTCCTTTGAGAAAGCCAGGGTACACAGCCCAGAGGTCAAAGTGTGGTAAGAGGGACTGGGGGAGATTTGCAATGCTCAGTAATCCAGATGTATCCTGGAGTGAGGGGGTGCCAGCAACAGAGGCCAGCAGGGAGCAGGCCTTACTCAACACTGCCTGCATCTCTCATAATTCCTTCGGTTCTGCTATTCTCTGCTCACATTTAGGAGATAGTTCAATTTGGTCACATTAATTTATTAGCAGCAGAGAATTCATTCTGAAACAGAAGAGTCAGTGACGGGGGAATAATCATGTTCTCCAAAGGGCATAACATGTTATTACATTTCATTGTGTCTCACGCACAAAAAAGTTTTCACCTAAAAAGAATCATGCTGTTGCTATTTGAGAAGAAAAATTGATTTGTATTTACCACTTAAGGTGATTTGCTGTTTCTTCGTAAGTGTCCTGTCTGACTTTCTGTTCAAAGAGAGCTTCCTTCATTTGTCTTGTTTTTGAAATCTCATCGCCTTGATCCAAAACTGAAAACAGAAGCAACAATTACATAGCAGTAATCAAATCAGAAGTATTTCTCTGGAGAAAACACACTTCCAATGGCAAACCCAGCAGTTACCTAACTGCTTCTGTTGTTCACAAACAGCCAACTGTAACAGGCAGCAGTAATGCCTATTCAGATACTACCCGGGAGATGAACTGGTTACCTTCTCTTAATTTTTTTATCTTCAATTTTCCTGGTTCTTGGTTTAAAACAGTTGCCACAGCAAATGGGTTTGATAAATCTAATGGAAACACCAAATTTTGGTATTCAATTTCCTAGGAGACCAAATTAGAAACAAAAAATTAGTTAATTTACTTTTCTCTCCTTTCCATCATGTTTGGGATAATTTTCACTTTACCTTCATCTTTTGAGGCTTTGCCTTTGCTGGTAGGCTGTGAAAATTTACACGTGCCATTGTCTTTTCTGGAGGAATGTTCACTTTCTTAGAAAGATTATTTAATCTTTCAAATTCTTCTAAGCTATGATTAAAACAGGTACTAAATTAGTATGTAATCCAATAGCGCAAGGCCCCTCTTATTATGATTTACTGTTCATTATTTATTATATTCAAACTTAAAAGAAATGTGTTTGTTTTAGAGTGGTCTACTAAGACAAACTTAAAGACACTAAGTCAGGGTTTACTTCTAGATCCAAACAGTTCCTCAATGATTTTTCTTCCTTCTATTCTTAGAGAGAGTAGCAAGTGGAAATAATGACATAATGAAAAACACTCATGATCTAGTATAATTAATTTCCAGACTATTGGTTTTCACAGCTAAATTTCTTAAAATCATATACTAATTTATCTTCTTTTTTTAAATTTTATTTTATACTGGTTTACATACAAAGTTCATATATACTGTTTTTTCACACCAGATCTTTCAAAAGTGATTATGCACTATTTATGATAAGATCTTTTATTTTTTATCCTATTTTTACTCTACATATTCAATCTTTTTGTCTTGCTTCAAAAATGTATTTATTAATTTTTAGAGGGAGGGTTTACAAATCATACTGGGTTTTCATATATTTTTCATATATTTCAGATATTTTGTTTTATAATAGTAATTGCCACTGATAAGTGTAGCTACTTAATTACAATGCTAATCAATTGTTTATTGTTTCAAGATCTTTAAAAATGATGATTTTTAGCACATTCTGACACAAGAAAGAAAAACAGAATGGAAAAAAGAAAATTTGGATTTTTGAAAAAATTTGAAAATGAGCACAATTTTTCAAAGAAGTCATACTTTAAAGCCGTGTTTGGGAAGCAGGTCCCTGTGAGGACACATTCATAAGGCTGAGAATTGAACTGTGAAATCCAGAGCTGTACTTTCATCTGTGCAGTCCCATACTGAAATGGTGTGAACCTGATAGTTACATTCACCTTCCCATTAGCTGGAATTATTCCTGAAAAGACAAAAAAAGTTAAGAAAATATGAAATAAAAATGCATGCAATAGTCCATTATTTTTAATTTAATAGTTTAATGCTCTTCCATTATCCATATGGGTTTTGATGGCCTGTTATTTAAAAAGCAATTCCTGCTCTTAGTCTGTCTTAATTTGGAAGCTCTGTTGCAACATGTTCACTATGGATGATCCTGCCTTTATCTGAAATACCAGTGGCATAGCTTTCAGCATCACAGCAACACAGAAGCCACAACAGTATAGTAAACTGACAGATGAGTGGTAGAGGAGAAGGGTAGAAAGGATCAAGGAAAGAGAGAAAGATCCTCAATGAGATAGGCTAATACAGTGATTACCACAGTGAAGCATGACAGAGAACATGAGGATGACTCAGGGTAGGGCAAGGTTCACATCTGTTGTTCACAGGGTTGCTATGAGTTGTAGTCAAGATACTAACTCAAGTGTATCAGAGCAGACAATGCTTTACAGGGTTTTCAATGGCCCTTTTTTAAAAAAAAAAAAAACCCAACAACAACCAAAAACTAGGTTCTGCCAAGGTGACTCTTGAATGGACTTAACTCACCAATATTCCTGTTTAACAATTGAGGAAGCTAACCATACACATCACCTAAAACAACCAACAAAATATCTACACCCACTGGCATAAATCTGACTAACATCAACCCTACAGTACAGAGAAAGAATATACCATGGGGTTTCCAAGGCCATCATCTTTACAGATGCAGACTGCCACATTTTTCCTTCTTGGAATGGCTGATGAATTAAAACCAATGACCTTCCAGTTATCAGGCAAATACCAGCAGAGCTGCTTTTGTATCACTTAGGTACTTCAATATCTTGGTGACATAATACATATCAGGCTAGCTAACTGAAGAGTGGCTCAAATCTACCAGTTGCTCATCTGTAGGAAGATGAACACTCCTCTCGTAAAATTTATAGCCTCAGAAACCCAATGGAGGGTGGCTATGAGTTGGAACTGGCACTGGGCTGTTTCATTTGTTTATATGATAAAGATCTGTAGACACATATGTTGTTATTGTTGTTAAGTGCTGTTGAGTCATAGACCACTTATAGTGGCCCTATGAATGAAAGACCTGAACACTTGTATAACTTTCTTTGTTTCTCCAAGTTCATAGGGTTTCTGGAGGCAAGCTATTTTGGAGGTGGATGCCACTCCTGCTTCTAAGATTGTTTTAATCGGGGAGTTTCACCAAACACAGTTCACCATGGGTAACTATTATTGCATTTGACACATCAATGTCACAGCATTCAGCATCACAGCAAACAAGTTACCTCTGTACAGCAAATGGACAGACCAGTGCTATACCACTCAGAAGAATGTTTGACCAAAAAGAATTAAAACCAGGCCAAGGGCCTGTGGCCCTCAGGCTCAACCAAATTTAAGAACCAAGGCAAGTTTCAAACACCATGAGCTCCATAATTCCACATTCTTCCATAATCAAGCATTCTCATTGTCTTTGACCACCCAAAAATGCCCATCTGGGAGCATTCCTCTGCTTCCCCAATCTCCTCCTATTCTGATGCCACATGTTTCTTCATATAGTCTTAACTTCTTGAATGATTTGTTCAGCATATAGAATGAATACACTTGAGGAAAGGATACAGTGTTAATGCACATGTAGACACATTTATATTCTATAATATCTATGTGTGTGTATATCAGCATTCAAGTTTATTCATTGCTGTTGAGTTGAAACAAACTTTTAGCTGACCCTTGAGGCTACAAATCACATGCAAATAGATTGTCCATCTTACTCCCTCAGAGTTGCTGGTGGATTTGAATGACCAGAGAGGTGCAGCCTTTGAGTTAGTAGTACAACTCCCTTTGGATTTTCACCAGAGCTCCCTTTATCAGTATTGCTATAATTAGGTGCCGTTGAGTCAAGGACAAATCATGTGACCCTATAAACAACAGACCTGAAAATTGTCCTATCCTGTGCTAGCCTCACAATCTCTGACATATCTGCGCACAGTGCTGCAGTCACTGTGTCAATCCACCTCACTGAGGGTTTTCCTCTCTTTTCCGAACCCCTAACTATTCCAAACATGAAGCCCTTCTCCAAAGAGTAGCCTTTCCTAGCAACATACGTGAGATGAAGTTTTGTCATCTTTGCCTCAAAGGTGCACTCTGGCTGCACCTTCTCTAAGACATATCTGTTTGTTCTTTTGGCAGTCCATAGAATAGGCAATACTTTCCTAAAACACCACAATTAAAAAGTATCAATTCTTCTGTTGTCCTGTTTTCAGTTGTAGAACAAGTGATTGAAAAGATCATGGCCTAAATTAGGTGCACATTAGTCTTCAAAGCGACATCATATTTCCTAAATAATTTGGAGAGATCCCTGACAGAAGACTTTTCCAATATGTCTCCTGATTTGATTGCTAGTACCAATGGTGTTGACTGTGGATTCAAGTAAGATGAACTAATGGACAATTTCAATCTTTTCTCCATATTTCATGATAGTATTGTTGGTTCAATGATGAATATTTTAATTATTTTTATGTTCCAATGTAATCTATATTAAAGGCTGTAGTCTTTGATCTTCTGCAGCAAATGTTTCAAGTCCTCCCCACTTTTAGCTAGTAAGGTTATGTCATCTGCATAACATGAGCTACTGATGAGTCTTCCTCTAATCCTGATGCCAAATTTTTCTTCATAGAGCCCACTTTTTTTTTCTTGTTGTGTACCATCAAACTGGATCTACTGGAATTGGAGGAGCATCTGGTGGATTTGATATGTGCACCTTTGGGATTGCAGTGCAGCTTCTTGCCACTAGGCCACCAGAGCTTCCTAGAGTCAGTCCATTTTTTTTTAAATGATTTGTTCATTCAGCATTGTTGTTGTTGTGTACCATTGAGTTGGAACCAATCCATAGCAGATCCTCTGGTGGGTTTTCAGAGGCACTTCACCCATCCTTATCCCACAGAGCAGCTGGTGGAAATATCAGCATTAGTGAATTTTAAAAAATGTAATGCCTAGGGCTATAATTTTGAAATTAGTTGTTGTTATGTGTCATCGAGTTGCTTGAACTCATAGCGACCCTATGTACAACACCCCTGAACTATCTTGGGCCAAATTCATTGTATCTGATACACCTAACCTCATTACTCCAATACTGAGGCAATTGATCTTGTCCAAGGTCTTCCTTTCTAGTCCTGTCTCTCCACTCTCTCAAGCATGATGTCTCTCTCCAAGGACTGGTCTCTCCTTGCAACATGCCCGAAGTATATCAGGTGGAGCTTCAGAATCCTTTCCTCAAAGAACAGCATGATTTTACCCTCTTCAGGACAAACCTGTTTGTTCTCTTAGCAGTCCATGGTATATTCAATACTATCCTCCAGCACCATAGCTCAAAAGGCATTGATTCTTCTTCTGTCATCCTTAGTCACTGTATAGTTATCCGATGCATAGTAAGTAAATGCAAAGACTACAGCCTGGATCTGATATACCTTAGTCTCCAGACTGACATCATTGCTCTTCAGTACTCTGGAGAGGTCCCTGACAGCAGATTTTTTTTCCAATGCAATTTGTCCTTCGATTTCCTGACTGCTGGCACCAAGACTGTTGAATGGGGAGCCATGCAAGCTAAAGCTGTTACCTATCTAAATCTCTTCACCATCTATCATGATGCTGCCTACTGGCCCAGTGATGAGAATCTTTGTTTTCTTGATGTTGGACTTCAATCCATATTGAAGGCTGCAGGCCTTGACCTTCTGAAGCAAGCACTTCAGGTTCTCAGTTTCAGCAAGCAAGGCTGAGTTATCTGCATAATGCAGGTTGTTGATGAGTATTCCTCAAATCCTGATACTACATTTCTTCTCACAGTGCCAAGCCCTCCAGATGATCTGCTTTGCATATAGCTTGAAAAAAGTACTGAATAGTTACCAGGTATAAATATTAATATTACAAAGCAACAAAAAGAAGTTAGAAATGCAAGTAGAAAATGTGTCAAATAATTTTCTCCTTTCCATATTTTGCATAATTTTAGTCTTTCCTTTGGATTACAGAACAGACTAACTCCAAATTTAAACTCCAAAGTCAAAGGACTTCACTCCAAAATTCAATATACTTTGTCCCATTCTTTCTTTATATCTCAGGTGCTTGTGGGCTTAGAACTTAGTATATGCTCAATAAACATTAAAAATAAGAGTGATGAAAGGAGACAGGAGGGAGGAAAGGCATGTCAGTGCATTTAGGGCTAATTCTCTGACTTCCAATGAAGAATATTTGGTTTGTTTTCTAGATGAGATCTTCTGTACATATTCAATCTTCATACTGTGCCCTCATCAGTCCATCAAATGTATCTGAATGCTTTGTCTTTTCTACTCCCTTCTCTGGGCTTTACACTGTTTCCACCTTTGCTCAGTATGTTCAACTACAGGGGCTTTCATTTGTCCATTCAACTAATACTCACTGAGCACTCATTGCACTCATTGCCAGGGGAGCTCTACTGCCTCAGACTGGATGAAGCTGCACTGCCAGTCCAAAGGCTGTTCCTCTCTAGCACTTAGAATATACCAGCAGGTCCTTGGAAAAGAGACAAGCCATCTCTTCCCATGCAATTTACACCTTCAGCTATAGGTCAGTTCTGACTTACTGGTAATATTGTGTGCCAAGGGCTGATGGTAGTATTATTGTTATTGTTATGTGCAGTCAAGTTACTTGCAACCCATAGAGACCCTATGCAACACATCCCTAAACCCTGCTCTATCCTGTGCCAGTCTTATTGCCTCTGACAAACCTATCTCCATTACCCCAGTCACTTAATCAATCCATCTTATTGAGGGTCTTCCTCCTTTGTACTGTTCTTCCACCCTCCCAGGCATGACACTTCTCTCTAAGGACTGGTCCCTCCTTGTAACATGTCCAAATAGCATAGCAGTTAAATAACTCAGCTGTTCATCAAAAGTTCAGGAGCTCAAACTCACCACCTGCTTTGCAGGTAAGTTCCGGAAGGAC